GGGGGAGGATGACGAGGAGGAGGGGTAGAGGTGGTGGGAAGTTCTTACTTGGTTGCGAAAAGAGGAGACGACGGTAGTCCAATCGACGTCGGTAAGGAAGCTGCCGTTGACGCGCTGGACCCTGCTCCTGCCGTAGAGCATACCTCCGATCCTCTCCCCGTCGATCTTTTTAGGCACGTTGCTCCCCACCACGAACTTGTCTACTCCCGTGACCTCCAGCACTCGCTGCACCTGCGACTTCATCGGATGGTCCGGGCCGAGCGAGCGGATGTCGACGGAGAGGAGGAAACCAACTTGAAACCCGTGCGGGCGATCCACCAGCAGCTCGCAGCGACCCAGCCCTCTGTTGGTCGCAGACACGATGCAGAGAGCAGAGGAAGAGGCTGCGGATGAGGAGGAGGAGGAGGAGGAGGATGATGATGATGATGAGGAGAGGTTTTCGTTCTCGAAGTAGGTCTGAGACTGAGTAGCGAGCGACATGTTCCCGATTCTCCTCCTCACTGCCATCCTGTATGGATCTGTTGCTTCCTCGCTCCTCTCCTTGAGGGCTGGGCGCGTGTGCCCGAGCGGTGCCCACTCGTACTCCTTGCGGAGTTTACAGCAGGCGTTCAGTGCCTCCTTCTCGTAGCGAGCATGGAGGAAGCGGTCGGGAGCGGAGGAGGGCAGTGCTCCCCCGATGTAGTTGAGCACAGCGTTGACGTCCTCCTCGAATTCCTTGTCCTCCACCTCCTCCTCCCTGTACAACAAGGAGAAGCCTCGGATCGTCGTCTCCACTGCCATTGGCCACAGCAAGTGCATGACCCTCTGCGGGAACTTGGAGGAGGAGGAGGAGGAGGAGGTGGTGGTGGTGGTGGTGGTGGAGGAGGAGGAGGAGGAGGAGGGGACAGGGTTGAGTGTCCTCTCGTCCCCGGTCATGTTGGCCCAGTCGAAGAGGGCCTTGAGAACTTGAGCTCTGCTCCTCTTCTTTCCCTCCTCCTCCTCCTCCAGACTCGCCGCCACCTCCCGCAGACGCGAGATGTCCTTGCCATTGTCGCGCCAGGAGGGGACGACATGGTTGAAGAGGGAACACCAGGTTCGCTCGGAGAAGAGCTGCTTTCTCCTCCCCTGCTCGCCGCCCTTCCCTTGCCCCTCCATCTTCATGCTCATCCTGTAGAGCTCCTGGTCCAACCTCCGCACGTGGAAGGTCGCGACGGGATCATCTTCTGCGGATGAAAGGAAGGGGAAGAGAAGAACTTTGACCTCCCGAAAGAAAGTTTTTAGCAAGGAGGAGGAGGCGGCTGCGGCTCCCCCCTTGCCTAACAAGTTGGAAAGTGTCGACGTTCTCCTACTGTGATCTCAGTGACATGCACGTTTGAGCAAGCAGGAACTGAAGAGCACAGAGACGAAACTTCGGTAGAGGAGGAAGGGAGGGAGGGAGGGAGGGAGGAAGGAGGGAAGGAGGAACGAGAGGACTGTGTAGAGGTCACCTTGATTCATGGCACTTGAGGAACATGTCGGTCGCATGTTGCACGTCAAGCAGGTTTGATTGATCTTTGCAGAAATTGCCGACGAGGAGCAGGGCAGGAGCATCGTGACCTGATCTCGCTCCCAAGCTCGCTGTCTGAGCCCAGCAGAGAAGTTTGCGGTAGGTCCGAGCAGAGAGAAGATCCTCTCCCGTCACCCACACCAGCACGTCCGAGGTCAGGTACCCGATCCTCGCCAAGTCCACCAGCACCACCTCCCTCCTCAGCTGGGAGAGGCTGCCTGGGTTGAGCTGAGAAATGCTGCTCTCGAGCTCCCACGAGGGATCCAGCAGGTCTCTTGCTCCGCCCTCGCTCTCTCCTTCCGTGTCGTTGAGGCGCACCGGCAAACACCTCCTTCCCCCTCCCTCTGCTCCCCCGAGTTGCGTCAGGTACGTCTGCAGCCCACTGGTCTTGCTGCCCATCGTGGTGGAGGACGAGGAAGAGACGGCAGTTGCTGTGGTGGAGGAGGCAGAAGAGGGGGCTGCCGGTTGTCCCATCCTCATCCTCACGTGAAGTGGAAGTTCGCCGAGCTCGGGGAGGATGGCGCGCGAGTCGTCGGAGAGAGGATGGAGGAGGAGGAGCTTCCTGCAGAGAAAGCTCTTCCCCGACCCACTCCTGCCCATGAACGTTATGGTCTTGCTGGGAGCTTTCCTGGACAGCAGCTGGGCTTGTCGAAGCGCCTCCTGCGGGACAGAGAGGTCGACCTGTATGTGGCGATCTTCTTGGCGGACTGAGAAGTGAAGCAGCGTCTGAGCTCCGATGCTCTCTGGCTGCATGCTCTGTGGGAGAGTGAGATTCGAGAAGATGGTGTTGTAGCACAAGACGAGGAGTGGAAGACAAAAAGGAGGAGGAGGAGGAGGAGGAGGAGGAGGAGGAGGAGGAGGAGAAGAAGGAGGAGAAAAGGGAGGAGGAGAAGAAAGGAAGAGGAGAGTAAGGCTGAGGAAAGGCCAAGGAGGAGGCGGGATTGTGGAGGGTTGTATGGGAGAGGTAAGGGGATGAAGGGGATACCGCAAGAATCTTGGGAGGGAAGAAGTTTGCGATCCAAGCTGGGAACATGCCATCTTCTTCCTCGTCCTGCGGCTCCTTGCCAGGGACCCCAGCGCTCTCCTCGACCATACGAGCAAAGGCCTTAGCTGGAACGAACTGCTGCCCACCCGTCGTCCGGGGTAGTTCCCCTCCTGCCATCTCCTCGAGTTTCGCCTTGAAGTTCGCGATGTTTGCGCTGGAAACGTCAAACTCTCCGAACAGTCGCCTCTCCCCCTCCACGACTTCTTTCCCTTGCTCGCTGCCTCCTGCCTCCTCCTCTAGCGCGCTCAGAAGGTCGTCCAAGAGCAGGTGAGGGTAGAAGAGCTCGTGCTCCCTCCTGCCCGCCGCGTGCCGATGCCAGAAGAGCTTTGCGCTGCTGGGCAGCAGCCGGATGGGCACCGGTACATCAAGGAGGAGGCCGTCAGGGGGCGGGCCCGAGTAAGGCATGAACGGCTCCTCGTGGGGCTGAGCGATGCGGCGGGAGGAGCGGGAGGAGGAGAGGAAGGGAGCTTCCACTCGTTCGAGGTAGCAAGCGTGGTGGAGGAGGTCCGGCGTCAGGTCCTTCCCCCGACACTCCTCGGGGGGCGATCCCCGCACGATGACGGAGGAGGAGGAGGAGACGAAGACGATCTCATGGACGCCATGCAGAGAGTTCCTGCGGGCGACGGAGCCGAGGAAGACGGAGACGAACATGCCTGTGAGCAGGTCGTGCGGCTCCTTCAGCTGGATCAGACACCGCTCCTCCTGCCCGTCGTCGGAGAACAAGGAGGATACAGAGACGATCATGTAGCGCCGCGTCTCCTCCGCCTTGAACGGTTGCGACAGGTTCACGTCCAGGGCCGGAGGCTCGACGCCCTTCAAGCGTAGGAGCGTTATCTCCATTCTTGCTGGGCTCCTGCTGAGCAGCAAGGCCCTGACCTCCTCGAGAGTCTTGTCTTGTAACGAAACGGAGTCGAGGGAAAGCAGCTGGTCCCCCAGCAGGAGAGCGGCAGAGAGATCGGCGACGCTCCCCCGAATGATCTCCTGAACCACAAACGGAAACTCGCTGCCCAACTTGAGGCCGAACGCTCTCCTTCCCTCCACCTCCACGCTCGTCGTGATGATCTCATAGCCCTCTGGGGGCCAAACTTGAGGAGGAGGAGGAGGAGGAGGAGGAGGAGCGGACGAAGGAGAAGTCTGATCCGAAGCAATCTTCTTCCTCTTCTGTCAACGTCGTCATACCATCGCCAAACGGCAATACACTCAACATAAATTCCATATCATGATCATGATCATGATCATTTGTATCATCGTCATCATCAATCTTCAGTCTCACCATCGTCATCTTGTATCTTTCCTGGAGCATCTGCAGCTGCTTCTGCCAAGCTAAATTTCTGCCAAATCGTCAGACAAACACCTCATCCATCTTCCTTCCCTCCTCGCTCCCCTCCCCCCTTCATCCCCTCCTCCCCTCCTCCCCTCCTCCAACATCATCCAAGTCTTACCTCCTCCACCATCGTTGAATCTTCAAGATAGCAAAGGACTTGTTGACTACTTTCCTCATCTCGCCGTATCGTTTCATGTCAACTGTACGCCGCAAGCTTGCCTGCCACCATTTCTCACTCATTTGGACTGCTCGACTCGGCTCAAGTCTCCTCGACCTCCCTCGCCCCCTTCTGCATATTTCCGTCCTCCTAGTTTCTCTTCATTCATATGCTTCTGCCCACTGGTATGCTTTCGCCCTCTCCCCTCCCTCCTCTCTCCTCCTCCTCCTTTCTCCTCTCGTCCCTCTTCCCACCTGTAGCGTTGCAGCATACGGATTGAGCTCGAGCTTGCGGATGAGCTGCAGCTGACCGAGACGACCAGCAGCGAGGAAGAGCATGGTTCTGCCGAACTTGAAGCTTCCCTTCCCTCCGCTGAGAGGAACCCAGTCCTCCGGCCGGCTCACCACCGACCCAACTGACTTCCATTCCTTCCTACGAAGCTCCTGCAGGGTAGAAGATAGTAAGGGAGGAATCTGGGAACAAGGGACGAGCCGAGGCGAGTTTAAGATGGAGGATGTGGAGGAGATCATGCTGGGCTAAAGAAAGAACAGGAAAACGAGGCGCGGAAGTGTGGAGAGACGACGACAACGTCGAGGAGGAGAAGGAGGCGGAGAAGGAGGAGGCGGCGGCAAAGGCGGAGGAGGCGGAGGAAGAGAAGGAGGGGGAGGCGGAGGAGGAGGAGTGGAGGAGGAGGAGTGGAGGAGGAGGAGGAGTGGAGGAGGAAGCGGAGGCGGAGGCGGAGGCGGCGGCGGAGGAGGAGGACTTACCTCGAAGATCTTGGTTATCCCCTCGCGGGGGTTTGAGGGAAGGGAGGAAGAGACTATTTCGCGCGTCCAGAGAGACTTTAATATGATGCTGAGGGAGTCTGGTAAGGGAGCAGTTGAACAGGGGAAGAAGATGGAACGAAGGGAGACATAGAGTTGAAAGGGTAGAGGTACAGGAAGAGGTAGAGGAAGAGGAAGCTAATGAGAATATTTGATTACCTGAGATCCATGCCATGTCTGCTCCAAAGTTCCTCATACGTGTATCTTGTTGGCAGACCACCAGCCTGTCAGAGGCTTGAGGGGAGGGGAGGGGAGGAGAGACAAAGGAGGGGAGGAGAGAACAGTCACGGGCTGTGAGATTGACCTGTGCGAGTTTGACGGCCTGCACGACGCCGTTACTTGACAACTGACCTGCGACTTTGGCTCGTTCGAACATCAGCGACCTCTTGTGATCGTTGGGTTTGACGCATCGCACGAAGTGCATGTGCGTGTCTTCCAGCGTTGGGATCAGTCCCTTTCTCTGCCTCCCGCTCCCCATGCCCGCGTCTCGTTCCTCCACCAGCTGGCGCTTGAAGGTTCCTGCAACGGTCTGCAGCTTTGACCTGACGGATGGACTTGAAGTCACTTTGTCTGCTAGCTTCCCTGCTCGTACAGGAGTAGAAAACTTCTTATCCTCGTCGTTTTCATTCTCTTCCTCCATTCCGAGGCCTCGACGGATCAGCGAGTAGGCCAGGGCATCCTTGACGCCTCCGTCCCCCCCCCCGGCTGTATCGGCGACGAGCATGCGGAGGAAGACGTGGCCTTTGTCGATGTTCTTCTCGATCATGTGGTCGATACAGTACTCCACGTCATCAGCATAATGGGTGATGACGAACGAGTTGGAGGTTGGGAAGAACCGCCGCTCGTCCCCCTGCCACATCCTCTCGTCTGTCTTCCCGTCCTTCTTGTACTTGTCGTCCTCCTTCCGTGTTCTACGAAGCACATCGATGAACTCCTTCCCCATCTTGTCATACTCGTCTCTCCTCTCTGCCTCTCTGCAGAAGTCTGCGAGCTTGGAGAACGTCGTCTCAATCCATCGGAGCGCCAGCAGACTCTCCTGGTCCAGCTGCACATCAGGCATGTCGTTTCCTTCGAACTCGCTCTCATACAGCTTCTTATCAGCCTCCAGCACCTTCTTGTTGAACAACACTTGTAGACTTTCATTGGCAAAGTTGATGCAGAGCTGCTCGAGGCTGTTCGCCGACATCCAGCACTTTTGGTGCTTGTCGTAGAAGGAGAAAGACTCGAAGCCGAAGATATCGAGGAGCCCGATAGAGAGAGAAGAGGAAGCGGAGGAAGCTGCATCCTGCTCGTTCTCCCTCACGAGCTCCATGTTGACATTCTCCCTCAGCCAGGAGAAGAGCTCGCAATACACGAGCTTTGCAAGCGAGTCCCGGTTGTTCGCTGCTTGACTGGAGTTGAGAGGTACCCGACCAAACATGCTGTCCTCCTTCTTGATCGTCAGCGCCTCCTCGAGCTCAGCCGACCCACATTGAACCACATGTGCCGCATCCTCTAGGAACTGTCGGGAGCTGGAGGTCACTCGTGCCCATGGCGTTCCGCTCTGAACCTCGTCTTCGAACTCGAGGTTGCCGAGGAGGAGGATGAAGGAGAGGATCCGAAAGATAGCAAGGAGATCTTCCGCCATCCCCATCTCACAGATCGCAGTCTGCAACATGTTCCACTGCTCTGCCTCGCTCAGGTTCCCCTCGTAGGCATCTTCTGCCTCGAAGGTCCCCTGCTCACCTCCGAGGAACTTGTACTCCTTCATCTCTCGCAATCTGAGTGATCTTCTCGTGCTCTTGTCCTGCAGCCCCGCCAGCATCATGTAGAACACGTGGAAACTTCGCTCTCCCTTTGACTGGAACGTGACTCTCGATTTCTCCAGCAAGTAAGTCTGTACTTGAGCCCCTTCAACCGTCTCCCCGCTGCTGTCGAAGCAGAGCTCTAGGTACTTGCCGAACCTGCTTGAGTTGTCATTCCTCAGCGTCTTTGCATTCCCGAAGGCCTCGAAGATGACATTATTCATCGTGATCTTTCCCACCAGAGACTCTGCTCGTTTCCCTCCCTCTATGCTCCCTCCCTTGTTCTTGTACATTCCTGAAGCAACCTCCACAATGTAGCAGAGAACCTCTCGGGCTGACTTTGTCTTTCCTGCTCCACTCTCTCCGCTGATCACCACCGACTGGTTCTGATGCTCTGCACTCAGGTTTCTGTACGCGTTGTCTGCTACCACAAACACGTGCGACCTCACACCTTGCTGGCGTGTGTTTCCTTGCAGACTCGCATAGTATCGCCGCACCTCCTTGTCGTACATTCCGATGGGATGGTCGTAGCCCGGTACAGGCATGTCAAGATGCTTGTACGGGTTGACAGCTAAAAGCATGTTTCCGATGTAGCTGTAGATCTTCTCAGACAGAAAGCGGAACTCAACGTTCTGTAGGAGAGACGGGAGGTGGATCTTAGTCATCTCAGTGAGGTCTTCGTAAACCTTGTTCTCGTCAAAGGGCAGGAAATGAGCAAGCACGTTCGTCTCTGGTTTCATCTTGGCCTTCAGGGTTCCCATCTTAGGTACGCTGGAGATGTTCCCGTTCATGTCAACAACATAAGTCTGGTCTTTCTTGATTTCCTTTCTTCCCATGATAGCCCAGGCATTCAGCTCGTGGCGAGTGGCTTCTCTCATTGCGATGTATCTGCTCTCCTCTTGCCTCAAGGCGTCAGGAAAGGAATCCAGCATCTCATCCAGCGTTGCAAACCCCAGGGATGTAGCAAGCACGTCGTCGAGGGAGTGCTCTGACTTGTCCTTAAAAGCTGCCTGCAACCAGCAATGAAGGGCAGTGAGACTAAGACTGCCATACCTGAAGAGAGGAAAGCTTCATCCCAGATGGGCTCTCCTGTAGGATCTTACGAAGACATTGCTTGACCCCATGGAAAATATCGTCGGAATTTTCTACTACTGCGCTGACCTGTTGGATAACACTATTTTAGCTTCAGGTTCAAGAAGCCTTGCCAGTAGCTTCTCACCTTTATCTTCTGCGGGTCGTCAGTCTCTGCGTTCTCTATCGACAAGACTCTTCGCTTTGTGTGCGCTATGCAGACGTCATCCCACGCCCACAGAAAGAGCGGCTGAGAGTCGAGGGACTTGACCCTTGACTTGAGCTCAATCACTTCATGCTTCTGCCAGTTCCACCTCTCCCGCTTCCCTGCCCGGATAGCATCATCCTTGCTCGTAGCTTGAGCGACCCTCGGGTGAGTCTTGCGGGGCATCAGAGGAGAATCAGCGAACGAAGGCGCTTGAGGCTTCTTCTGCGCGCACAGGGTGAACATCACCGTAGCGAGCAAGGCTATTACTGACACTCGATGCTCGTTTCGCCATCTTCGCGGCAAGCTCAGACTCCGCGCCATTCTACGCATGAAGTCAGACAAGGGCGTGCGGCTCCCTTTCAAGGATCCTCTCGTACCATCTTGCCAGTCCAACAAACTTCGTCCGGTGAAGCGCTGCGCTCTTTCAAGCCATCCAAGCCCCTTCGCGCCTCCTCGGCCAACTCTGTTAAATCTCTCCATTCAATAAAGAGACGAGAGAGATGAAGGGAAAGGAGACGAAATGGAGAGCTTCGGCTACTGTCAGTGAGACTGTCTACCTCGAACATTTCTATCAGCCTACTCCTGCCGCAGATCCTGTCTTCCTGTCCTCCTGCCTGTTTGCTAGTCGGGCACCTCTTGCCATGCCTGTCATCACCTTGCCTTCCCTCCTCTCTCCCTGCCTGACTTGCCCCGTTCGCTACAGCATGGCGATGGCACAGGGAGGATAGCTCTTGGAGGCGCAAGAGTCCTGACACGACAGGGACAGCAGGGGTCAGGGACGTGAGCGCTGAGGGGGGATGAGGGCGAAGATATCAGCAACGTAGTCTGCAACCAGGTCTGCAGAGGTCTGCAACGTAGTGGGGCAGGTAGTGGGGATGAGGGTCAACTTGGTATGTGGGGGATGAGGGAATGGTTTTGCCCCTTGGTCATGCAGCTGTTTTGGGTGCACATGGCGATGGGGCAGGATGAGGAGGAGCAGGAGCGGTCGGAAGATGATCAGGAGAAGCAGATGGAGCAGGATCAGGAGGAGCAGGAGGAGTAAGAGTAGCAGCAGCAGTTGTAGTTGCAGGAACATGTACAGCAAGAGCAGCAAGAGCAGCAAGAGCAGCAAGAGCAGCAGCAGTTGCAGGATAAGCAGATCAAGGATCAGAACCGAATGGAGATCAAACACTTGTAGAGCAAGAGAATTCTTCTATTATCAATTTTTATAGTTGTGAAGTCAGCTATCTTAGAGGACATGAAGTGTAGTGAGCTATCTTAGAGGACATGAAGTGTAGTGAGCTATCTTGGAGGATATGGAGTAAGTAAAGGAAAGAATGCCACGAATCAGCGAATGGGCAATGACAACGATGACGACCCTGTCAAGCGTTAGACGAAAATTTCAAGATTTCCTGATTTCTGAGAGTGGTTGTTGTCAGGCCATATCTGCATCAAGAAACATTGACTGAGAGATTTTAAGAATGGCTCCTTTCGTCCTTGGTTTGATCCTTGTAAGAACTGTGCATGGTTTTGACCCTATAACTGACGACGTGACAGACAGGAGTCATGCTCGCCGTTGCTATCGCCCCCATCCCCTCACAATGCTCACAAGATTTCGTGGGACCATCTGGGGGGCAGCATCAGGCGTGATGACGTAGCGATGAAATGAAACTTCTTGCGTTCTGTTATCGACGCTTTCACACTCGCATTACACTCGCATTGTTCCATCGCGCAGATTGATTTACAAGTCAGCGAGAGCGTGTTGCTCAAGGTGATGTGACTAGAGTTGTGTAGAGCACGAGCGAGTGCAACAAAAGGCGACAAGAAACAGAAGGGAGCACCAGCGAGTCCCAGCATTCACCGTCCTCTTTATGTTCCTTAACCATCGATTCTCAAAACACTGTCCGCCAAGATTCAATCCGAAAGCCTCTGTAGCGCCAGACCTCGCAGCGATCGTCGTCCTGTACCTCATCATCCAATTAGCTCCCATGCCTCGTGTTGGCCACAAGTCTAGCTCAGCTCACCTGTTCTGTTCTGATCCTTGGGAGGGGTTGGTATGATGTTGGAGGGAAGATCGGCATCCTTAGCCGGGCTGCACCTGAAGGAACTCGTCAAAGAACCCTCCTGTTCAAGTCGAAACCGTTTCTCACCGAGACTTTGACATCTCCGTCGTCGCTAATCCTTGTGAGATTGTACGATCTGCATTCTGAACAACATGATGTGATCAAAGGTTTCACAGGAAACGATGCGAGGGAACCTGTCGTATGTTCTCTGCGGCACTCGATGATAGATCGTCTCTTGTCCGCACGCTTCCACTCTTCACAGGCTCGATCGAATGCTTGGTATCCTCCTGTTGCCGGACATCGCATCTAGCGGTTGAAGCCATTGACTCGATGTCAGATGTAGACACGTCATGTTCGCTGACCAGTGGAGACCGAAAATTCCACATATCTGACTCCATGTTGAATAGTTCTTCGCTGTCCTCCTCATCAGCACTTGAGTTCTTGCCGGAGTCTTCCAGTACTAGCACGTCACTGTTTTGACCTGTTCCCATCGAGGTCCCAGGAATAATCTCCTGCGGCTCCTCCCAGTCATCTGCGCAGGATAGTGCGAGGGAAACAGTCTCTGCCTTCCACTTGCGGAGTTCTTCAAGGATCTCATCGCTACTCATCCTCTCCTGTGCCTTTGCCTGTGATTCGTCATAATTGCTGTACTTCTCTACCGCCTTAGCTACATTGCGTCTGCGCAGCCCCCGAGCTAGATTGCCGCAATACACCTCGTCAGTGCCAAAAGTGAGATCGGAAGAAACATCTTCTTCTGCCTCCTCCTCAGACGCTTTGAAGCCTTGTGCCCAAGGTTGACCCTGTCTCCTCCCTCCCGCACTTGTCGGTCGAGACCCTGTTCCCGGGCGATTTGTGTTGCTTTGGTAATTTGTAAAACGGCTATATGCCGACATGGGCCTTGCGAGGCTCTTCGATGAGCCAGGTCTCATGTTCTTGGTGAACATGTTTGCAGTCGAAGGCCTAAAGTCTATGGCGTCCTTCAGTCTCCAAAGAGAGCAATACGATAAATCATACCACTGCGTCGTCGTCCTCCGGAACCCCCCGAGCCTGTTGATTCCAAGTAAATTCGGACATTTACTGCCTCAATTCCATCATACCAGGTTTGTATTCGATTCTGTTGTCGTCTGAACTAAACGACCCCGAAGGCGAAATCCGACGCCCCTACAGAGCGACGTCAACACGAGAGCATTGAAAGTCCATATCCAGAAAACAAACCTGCAAGTTTCCCATGGGGATCGCAGAAGCGGGTCGACTGCTTCCAACTCGTTGACCTTGCGAGCGTAGAGAGCTTGTCGTTGAGGGTCTAGACATAGCCTGAGCTCGTTCCCATTCACACTCTGCAAGCGACACAAAATCCGCGTCATCAAAGCCTATGAGTTAGGGTCAGATGCTTGTTCTTGTCCGACTCTTTCTCTGTTGACCTGTTCTTGCATGTTTGATTCCTTGATGAACCAGCAAAAGCTCTTCAATGTTGTCCGGGTTATATGAGATACGGAGATTCTCTAGGCCAGGCTTTTCTTTGTCGCTCTCTAATTGCTTGAGATCAGATGGCAAAGAGTCCAAGAAATCGTTGTCCTCATCCATTGAGGTGTTCAACGCAAATAGCTCTCCACCATTAGGAGATCTGCACAGAAAGATGTCAGGGATATGACAGAAAAAAAAATCAAATTGGACCTCTCCTTCTCGTTATTTACCAATAGAAGTTTCTGATATCAGGGTTACCAAGTTACCAAGTTGAATCGCGAGATACGAATTCTCACCGTATCCTGATCGTCAAGGGTCAGCAGGAATGGTAGCGCTTCCAATATTTGCTTGTGGTATTCAGGGAGTTTTGAGACGGGATTTCCCTCCAGCGTGAGAGAGGAGAGATTTGAACATGAGACAAGGAATTGAACTTCAGAAATATCTGTCACAGCGTTTCCTTCCAAATCCAAGACCTACATGCACGTTATTGGATGAAACGGAATGCCATAAAAACCTCAATTGTATCACACCCAACCAACGGGCTCAAGTCAGAAATCTCGTTGAAGGCCAGATACAGTTCTTTGATAGAATCGAAGGCACTGATCCCATCGAGTTCCTGTCGAGTCTCTTTCACATCTTACATGAACATATAAGGAAGCTTCGAACCTGTAAGTTGCATCGAGACATCCATAAAACCTGCGCCATTCTTAGTCGATTACATAGTATTTCAGAGCAGTCCCAACCATCAGCTTCTTGAAGGCTGTTCCCAAATCCCTGATCGAATTAATGTTGCTATTGTTGAGTTTGAGCTCAATAAGTCTTGGCAACTTCTCGCCTATGGAAAATCTTACATTTAAGGAAACAATATGCTTGATGCTTGTAAGATCCCTTACCCAAGTTTCTTATGATCACCTCCTCAGAATTGACTCTGGCTTCAAGGAAGAGACAGTTGTTCAAATCGTCGCAACCAGTGAGTTCCTGTGAAAATACCTTGTTACGTGCCGAGGCAAATCATGAAGATGGACAGGAGTACCCGAAGCGAGTCGTCAGAGAGAAACTCGCTGAGCTCGTCCTGTTTATCGTTCACATTCAGCTTCAAACCTTTATAGAATCGTGGGAAGAAGAGCTTACAAAATCTGTCCCGTCGAGTTCCTGCGAGAGTAATCATTGTAAGTGAGCTAGCGGGCAAGATGAGAGGAGCAAAAAGAACTTACGCCATAATCTGAGCTCTCCAAATCATCGTAGATGATGTCATCTTTCGAGGCAATCGACGATGGATTCGACAGAGTCAATGGTGTGTTTCCTGCTTGCGCCATTTCCAGCCCTCAAGCGGAAGGCCTATCTTGAAAAGAAACATGAGATTATGAAGAACATGATACTTTTCTCCAACATGGAACATGATCTTGAAGTCAAGGCAAAGACAACATCCTAGGGCGGTCAAATATCCTAGATAGTTCCTCTATTCGTTATTACGAATCAACCTCTAACCGATGAATACAAAGATGAAACTTGAGAATCCCATGAGGAACCATGGATTTGAATAGCAGGAGGAGATATTTGTTGTACTATAGGAAAATGAAAACTTCACGAAACCATAGAACATCATTCTCTTATGACAACTACTCGGCTGACATACATGCAAGCCTGACATGACCAATCTCTGTTCTCCGTCTTTGAAATATCGGCAAGCACACGTGCTATCTGACTATCTGTCTAGTGTTCTTGGTCAACAACTCTCTCAAGATCGAGCATTGTTCTCTTCTGACTGCCTCCCTTCCTTCGCCTCGTCCCTTGGTTGCCTCCCTACCGCCATGTACCGCCAACCCCCAACCTCCCTCCTGCCCGCCCACACCCTCATCCCCTCCATTGACCATATCATCCCCCTCATTCTTTTGTCCGTCATGTTTACGGCCCCCCTCAGAGTAAAACATATGGCAGTGATTTTCAGGTTATGCATTCTCCATTCTGTCCTGGTGCCAACATGCAATGGACGCATGTGGTGCACATGGCATCTCAAGCAATGCCCTTCTCCCTCCTGCCACTCCTCCTGCCACTCCTGCTGCTGCTGCGTCTGCGTCTGCTTTTGCTGCGTCTGCTGCTGCTTCTGCTGCTTCTGCTGCTGCTGCTGCTGCTGCTGCTGCTGCTGCTGCTGCTGAGCCTCTTCTGCTCGTATTCAGCTTCAGTTGCTTCGCTCCACCCATTGCCCCTGTCCCCGCTACTTTCATTCTGGCATGCCTTCTGGCGCTCGGCTGCTTAGTACTTGGTTTCTCCTCCCCCTCCTCGCGCAGCCTTCACGAGTCCTGCGCTTGCTACAAACTGTCTTCTGTTCTCCTGATAGACGATCTCCTCACCTCTTCTCGACGCACCCTCTTCTTACAACAGGATGCAAGATCTCGTTTTGATGATTCTTCTTGCGTTTGCTGCTGAGTGACTTGCGCTCGTGTAGATGGACTTGATGAGGTGCCTCGATATTCGATGAGGAATGTCCACATCAGTCAGGATCCTTTTCTTGTGCTACACATTGACCTACACCTGCGGACGAGGACGGTATGCTCCTCAAGTCAATTTCGGAACGAAAGATCCAGCGCCGGCAGAGAGCTTGTTTTTCTGGGGCCGAATACGAGGAGGAGGTAGCGAAGATTCGGTGACAGAAGATGTAGCTGGAGCAGAAAGGATCAGGCATGATGGCGACCGACTGTTTGCTCAGAGGAAGTACAGCATGGCCGTTAAACTCTATACAGAGGCCTTGAAGCAGAAACCCTCGTTGATCGCAGTCCTTGCAAATAGAGGAGCAGCAAACTTGGCCCTGGGTCGCTTCCAAGAAGCTGCGACGGATTGTCTCACCTTCATAGATGACCCGAATAATCACGTGTGCATGCCTGAGAGGATTTGTGCGGCAAAAGCGCTACTTGGACTTGGGCGCTCAGAGCAAGCAAGGATACAGTTTGCCATCGTTTCAGAGGAGGTACACGTTGCAGTAGAGTTACATTATCTGAATGATCACCATGCAAGGCAAAGAGCTCTGGGCTGGTATGGGAAAAGGAAAACATACAAGATGCTTTGAAAATGGCAAGGGAAGGAATAAAACATGTACAGGTGCTGATTGAGCGCTGAATTCACTATCGGCATTTTACCTTGCAATAGGACTATGACATAGAAGTCAAGAGAGCGTTTGGATTCCTACATGGCCAAAGAGACAAGTTTTATCTCCCTATCGTCGGACGGTGGCGCTCGTGGCGAAAAGACAATTTCGAAGATCAAGTTCCTCTGAGGGAGCACAGTGACAATTTCCGGCATTCGGAAGGAGAAAGGAAGCATAGAAAGGTTCGATCCTGATGATTTGAAGTGCATACCGTGAAATCCGTGAAATTACCTCCAGGTCTTATCCATCGTCTCCGAGGCATTCAAGTGCACGCAGAAGGTGATGGAGGTTAGCAGCTGAAGGTGATTTCATGTCAGCTCCAGGCCCTTTCAATCGCACCCCAGGCGGTCGAGCCGATTGTGCTGCAGGTACGCGACGCAGAGACGCCTCGTGCAATCAGTTTGAACTTGTTCGACAGGCCTGGGCGCTGATGATAGCGGGAAACATCACCAAGATTTTGGAGTTCTGTGGAGAGAAAATGTTTCCTGTCCAGGATCAGACGGGCTCAGCCTCTACCCTTCCCGTGGCTTCCGAGCTCTGGGTTGTTTACTCCCGCGCGTTGCATCTGGCAGGGCGACTGGAGGAAGCAAAACGGATTTTGAACTCTGGCATTCAATCTGGTGCAGGTCAAGGCTGTCTGATGCTTGGAACTTGAGCTGAAGTTGCTGCAGCATGTCAGGAATTGTGCGCAGATGGAAAGATCGGACCGATGAGCAGTCCGTTGACAGATCGAGATCGAGATCGATTGGTCTGTGGTTGCCCGTACATGAATATCGTTTTGACGCATGTCAGGTCCGAGAATGTAAATTTGAGTTGAGCTTGATGGACAAACTTGCATCGTCACTTGCAGCCGCTGACAAGTAACATAAGGCAGATTTGAACTTATCTCACCCCTTTTCAGGTGTATCGCTGAAGGAAAATACGCCCGAGCGGTCGGCAAGCACAAAGAGAGCAAACAGAATGACGGTTAGCGCAGGTGGAGGAACTCAACAGAGGCTTGTCGATAGATCCATACAACAGCCTTCATTGCGCACAGGTTAGCACGACATTGCCTGCTCACGACATCTTACACGGGTCCAGCTGCTTGCTCGGAGGGGAGAAGCATACTTCGCGCAAGGGGCGTTGCACTCAGCGATGAAAGACGCAAACAAAGTCATGAGGTGAGGGAGAGCTGGAGGTGGTTGAAGTCAAAAGTGATGGGGCTGTAGATTTCTCAGCGGGAGGGAAACAGGCAGCTATATCTTATCGGACATCAACAAGATGCCAGCATGGGCCGGGTCGTATCAAATCCTTGCTGAAGCCGCTCTTCGAATGAAAAATCTTGAACAGGCCATGGTAGAATATGCTTCCATGTCTGTATTGGTTCTTCACTTTCATGACAGCAAAATATAACTCTCGCGCTCAAGATTTGCTCTCATGAACAACGGGCGGTTCTGGAACCAAAGGTTTGCCCTGCCTTGTCTCTGCTGCCCCAATCATTGGCTTTGTCGTGCAGTACAACGAGATTAAGTTGCAGATAGAAAGGTAATGCTCCTACGGGCATAAACTCTTGACCTTCGAACTTCAGGGAAGAGGCTGCTCGAATGAAAGAATTCGCTGGATTCCGATCCGAGAAAACCTCGGACGAGGCCAAGGATACCAAGCAAGAATCTCAAGGAACACCTGGTCAGCAAGGATCGAAGAAACCAGGAGCAACGCATTCTTCATACACCGACAAGAAGGAAAGAGACAAATGGTCAAGTTATCGCGGGGCGAATGCTGCAGATTGGACGAAAGCGAGAATGGAGCAGGAGTACAACGAAGCATGTCAGCCTCTTGATTGCTTGCTGCTGGTAGATAGCTGAAATTTTCTCGCTCGCAGATCGGCACTTCGTCAAGGATCAGAAGACCCATGGCTGGGGCATCCCTCCGAAGTCATCCCCCCTGTGACCTCGAGGAGACCTGACGCTTTTCTCAGGGGCTTCGTGCCTCCCCAACCCAAGGCCAAGGAGGAGGAGAAGCCGAGAAGTCATTTCGGGACGTGGGACTGGTCGGACTGGAAGGGCTGGGCCCATACAGACCGCCCGCGGGCTGGCCCATCGTCTCCTCCCAGGCAGGAGTCAGGAGATTCAGGCGCGAAGAGAGCGCGGACTTTCTCAGCTGCCAAACCTCAGAGCAAGGTCTGCTTGCCGTCTCCTCACGCCTTGCTCACTGCAAGCTGCAGGGCTTCTATGCTGTGCTGGGAGTGGACGTGCAGGCCTCCAGCAGCGACATCAAGAAGGTGAGGGACACAAGCTCGGATCTGTTGAGGTTGAAGATCCCCTGGCAGACGTACATGCGCCTGGCGCTTCAGTTTCATCCAGACAAGTACAAGGGAAAAGATCCCAAAGGTACTGCCGCTGCCCTGCTCTGACCCGATGAAGTGACTGAAAATTTGGCCAGCCGCGGAGGAGAGATTCAAGAGCATCACACGAGCTTACGAAGTTCTTTCGGACGCTCGCTCGAGGAAGCAGGTCAGCTGCTGTGGCACTCCCTCTTCCTGCCTCCTCTGAAAATGAACTTCGGCAGCACGATGAGGACATCGGTGTGGGCGACATCCTAGACATGAGCGCGTCTTTCTCTTTCCGTCGTTAGTGTAGTCGAACTTCAGTTCCGAGTCAGGGACTTCAGTTCCGAGTCCGGGCCGAGTCTGAGTTTGTTCGGCCCGGCGGCCCCGGGGCCGGCGGACTCAGGGTGACAGGCGAAGTTCCAAGTGCCGCAGTGCGAAAAAAACTCTCATCAGGGTGAGGTGTAGTCAAGTGCTGACCAGGGGTACAGGTTAGCATGTGAAGGAAAGGGGGTGAGGAGTAGGATAATTCGGGGTGGGGGGTACCATTGAGGAATCCTTCGAGATTCTCTGGAATAAAAATAACCTTGGAAGTAAAGGAGAAGGGTGGGGTGGTGTCATTGGTCAGTAGGGATGATCGCTGTAGGAGGTAGGGGGTCCTTGATTAGATTTTCGCAGGGGATCGCCCGGCAATGATGGCCGCATTGATGGCTGCAAGAGAGACGTGGCATTAATGGCTGCAAGAGAGACGGTAGCTCCAGCTAAAATGGCGGACAGGATAGAGGCAATGGATGATGACCGAGAGGTGGAGGACGCTCCTCCTCCCCCCTCCCCCCTCCACCATGCAGAGTCTTTCCCGCCACACCAAGTTCTGCCCAGTGAAAGGGGACAGCGAGAGGATGAAGAATGGCAAGCAGTGGCGGAGGCCGAAGAATTGGAGGTGAGTGAGATGCAAAGAAGGGGGTGGGGAGGGCTTAGGTGGTTCTTGTGCTTTCTCCATCAGCTTTGTTGGTATCAGAGAACTTCATCAAGGTCTCACTTTTTCCTAGGCTCCTCAGGGCGTCTGGTCGGCCCTTCAGGGCTTAGAAGACGATCCAGATGGAGCATGGGATATCCTGAGGCAGGTGCGGCTCTGCTATGACCTCCCTCACACACTGGTTTCCTTTGATACGAGTGAGATGAGGTGAGGAGGCAGAAACTGACTTGCTCTGCTCAGACTCAGATTGTTCGGAGGGTGAAACCACAAAGCACTGACGCCCCTCCTAAGCCTGACCATACGAGGTCAGATCAAACAATCCAAGGTAGTCTCTGACGTTGTTTGCAGGTTTGTATGTCTCTCAGACACTCACTCACTGCATGATACCGTTCAAGTGCCCATGGGTGACGTGCTTATCCATGCCGGAGACTTCACCAATGTGCTAAAACTTGCTTCGACTTTTTTTGCTCGATCATTGCAGTCTCACGCCTTTGCTGCTTGATGATGTTTGCTCTCTGGTTCTAGGTTGGATTGCCTTCAGACGTGCAGAAGTTCAATGAATTTCTCGGGCGCCTGCCTCATAAGCACAAGATTGTGATAGCCGGAAATCATGACATCAGCTTCGACACAGCGTCATACCCAAGGTTTTGATGTTTACACTAGCGATCATTCTTCTGATGATGTTTAGATTATGGTCGAGATTTGGTCACCCAAAGCTTTATGATTCCAAGGAGGTTCATGTCGATTCCTGGCTCGTGAGTGTTTGTGACAGTGTTGTTCATCCCAGGTCATCAGCATGTTGACGAATGCCACGTATGTACAAGACGAAGAGATCACCGTTGAAGGTTTTTGTTGACACGGACTTTCCTCCTCCTCACTCTTGCCATCAGGATTTCGTATCTGGGGCTCTCCCTGGCAGGTTTGTGGTGGCAATACTGAATTTGAACTTTCTCATCCATCCTTCAGCCTGAGTTCTGTGACTGGGGATTCAATCTTCCTCGAGGACCTGCGCTTGCGGCTGTATGGAACAAGATTCCAATGGGAGTTGACGTGGTGGTGACTCACGGTCGGTTGCTGTTGATTTGTAATGATATACCTGAATCTCTACGTGTTTTCGTCGTGATTTCTGTTTCCTTCTTACCCATGGCTTGCTAGGTCCTCCGTTAGGTCACGGCGATCTGACAAGTCAATTGTTTGGTGTGAAGAAAACATGTTGACGTAATGGTGTGCTGCAGGTAGAAGAACGCGGGTTGGATGTGTGGATCTGCTCAGGGTAATTCAGGTGAGAGAGTCGCAGGAAAAGGAGATGTTGAGGGTATTAGCAAGGTCGATGGCAATGGAAGTGAGAGTTGGGCAGTGAGATATGGAAACACATGATACTTCTCCTTCCATACACATGATACTTGAGATTTGAGTTGACAATGACTCGCAGAAAGTGAGACCCGCATATCATGTCTTTGGTCACGTGCATGAAGGATATGGGATCACGGAAGATGGACTGGGTAAGCATGATGATGACGTTGTAGAAAGAAAATTTTATGAAGACGATTTGAGCGAATGATGATTGATGATCGAGTTTGGATGACGATGATCATGGAGGTGATATATGCTATGATGACAACAGAGCCAATCAGGAAGCCGTTGAGGATACGATGTATTGATAATGACGATGACAATGATGGAGATGTTTGTTGATCATGAATAGATTCAGTATTGTATGCGATTCTAATGATGATGAAAACAATGATGTGAAAGATGATAACGGGGCTTCCCCCCACGATGGAGGTGAAAGCTTTGATGGCTGATTGATCCAGGTATTCTTTATGTCAACGCAAGTACATGCACAGAGAGATACAAGGCGACGAATCCATGCGTTGTCTTCGATCTCCCCAACAAGTGAGGGGGGCAAGAAGCGCTCTCTCACTTCCTTTATTCTTTATCCTAGTACATCATGTCTCATGAGAACGCAAACTAGCAAACCCATTACTGAGTCATCTACTTACGTGATCATATCACTGACTCAACTTCTTCAACCTCGATCGAAATTCTCCCTCTCGTTCCGTCGTCCCTTGCTCGTCAACTCTGCTTGAACCAAAAGTCAAGGAAAAGAAGTTCAGTAGCAACGGGCAACAAGTTACCTCTCATCGCTCCATTCTCGGATCTGGTGGACCGTTGAGCCCCCATGTCATTTTTTCACTCAACTTCAACGGCTCGTCGGCCACACGGATGGCGAGGGAAGAGCTTCTGCGCCGTCGACTTGCGACATGGCGACGAGAGTTCACCATCGACGACCCGCGAGACATGCTGAGGTGAGAACACATGCATGCCACGTGTCGAATGCTGAGAGCGACTTGGAAGAATCGCGCACATCGACACGGGGAGCAGGAGGAAGAGTCAGTTGCCGGAGGAGACCCGCACAGCTGTGGTCAACGCCCTGCGAGTCTTCGACACTGATGGCTCAAGCGGTGTGGACGCCCAAGAGATCAGAAGTGCCTTGTAAGTCACCATTTCCCGCTCCTTGCCCTGTTCTTGATACACTCCTTGCCCGCTCCTTGCCCTGTTCTTGATACGCTGCTTGACCGCTCCTTGCCCTGTTCTTGATACACTCCTTGCCCGCTCCTTGCCCTGTTCTTTCTCCGCTGATGAGCGATCAACTCGTGCAGGTCATGTTTAAACATCGACATGACGGGCGAGGAGATCGAAGCGTTCCTCAAGACCCTCATGATCGGCCATAGGAAGGAGATCCCTGTGGAACTTTTCAGCCGAGAGCTCTTGCGAACCATCGAGAGCAGTAGAAGCAGGAAGCAGTTCTGTAAAGTCTTTGAGCTGCTTGCCGGCGGACCTGTGAAGCGAATTTCGGTCGAGCGATTGCGCGAAAGCATGAAGGATCTTGGTGAGAGGGAGACATGGAATGCTGCTCTGACCCTCCTCAGGTCTGCTCAGTCACACCCTGGGAGACACGAAGATCAGCGACGCGGAGATCGCGCGCATGTACGCGCATGCAGACTGCGACGGGGATGGGGTGCTGAGTGTCAACGACTTCTGTGACTGTGAGGATGAGAGGAGGTGAGAGAGGCAACTGACATGTGTATGAGCTGCAGATGCGTATCAATCGAACATCATGTGAAATTAATCGAGCATTGCCTGACTACTTAAGCTCTCGTTTCATTTATTCGTCATGTCGATACTGTTGTTGAACAATTCTGTACAGGAAAACTTAATCTGAGCAAGAGGCAATGTCATTAGATGTCTTCGATCTCAGCAATCAGGTTCCGCCAATCGTCTGACTTCTTCACCTCCTCCTTCTTCGCATCTCCGTTGGGCTCGGGCTGCTTCTGCGGCGTCTTGGCCTGTGAGATTTTCTTCGACCAGGCCGGCCTCTTGTCCTTCTCCTCCCCTCCTGCGTGTCCGTTCGCCAACTCCTTAGCATCTCTGACAGAGACGACGACATCGTTGCTAGCATGCTCCTCCGACATGTCATCAGCACACGCGTCTCGTTGCGATAGGCCCATGCTCTTGTCGTCGCCTTTGCTCGGCATGCTGCGGCATGTCAGCGATGAGGGTTCTGCAGCAGCAGCAGCAGCATCTGGCGTCTTACCTTTGCAGTTGTATGGAGTTGAGCTTGTACTTCTTCTTCGCCAGCTTGTCGATGCCATGCCTGATGGTCCTGTATGTCTCCTTCACCTTGCTCGGGGGAGCCCATTCCCTGCTGTAATCTCCATTGCCGTTGTCTGCTTTCCGGATCTTAATCGCTCGACTCTGCGCTCTGTGCGGTTCTTGGAAGTTAGCAGTGGCATTGAGAGGAAAACGACACTTCACCTGTTCTTCTCGTATCTCTTCCGCTCCAACTCCACGATTAAACGCGCCTGTCGGGATATGTTATCGAGTCATCATCAGACGACAAGCGATCTTACGTCGTCGATCATGTCCTCTGTCTTGTGGCTCTCACCGTCGAGCCGAGGACATCTGCAAGATCCTCTGAAGCAGGCCGTGAAGAGAGTGAGGAGGAAAGTGAAGAGCATGACGGGCGGCAAAACCTGTTCCACTGGATCACGTGATGGACGAGGAAGGAGAACGAGGGAGCGAGGTGAGCAGAGGGAAGAGGAGGAGGAAGAGGAAGAGGAGGAGACGTCAGCAAAAGCACCTCGTTGAAACTGGAGCCAAGGAATGGGATTCTTCCAAGGGCGCTGAAGACTTGCTCAAATGCTGTCACCTCGACAGATGAGGTTTCGTGAGCCTCTCTGAGCATGGCGAGGTAGTTGTGAGCTATGCTGGGGGCGAGGCGGCAGACGATGTAAGCATTAAAGAGAAGGCTGAAACCATCCGTCTCCCCGATCACAACCTCGTAAAGGCTGAACAACCTGATGCGTAAGAGAGTGAAGTAGACGATCCCGCAGATAAAGAAGAGATGCATGAAGATCGGTACTTGGACGTCCCGAGTCACCCTGAACGGAACCCACAGTCTCCATGTGGAGAGGTCGGTGTCCTCCTGGATGCAATTGGGAGGAAGAGTAGCGCGTGAGCAGACGTGGAGCAGAAGCAGCGAACCGTCTCCGGGCATCGAAACCTTGGGGATGAAAGGAAAGAGAGAAACTTGGCTAAACAGCACCGCAAGCCCAAAGAGAGCGCAAAGTACAGCTGCAAGCATACGCAGCAGGGGAAAGACGTACATGGTGAAGATAAACCAGACGACTTCCTTTTGTAGAGCGTACATTCCCTCGTACTGATGTCTCACAGGGCACTTGAGACCAGCCCAGCCCTCAGGTCCCTTGTCGGAGTGGAAGAAAGCCCTCGACAGGTTATGGAGGACGCCTGACCAAGGCATCAGATCCTCGTGCGTGCGCTGGAGATCCTGCAGCAGAATCGCTTGTTTGACGGCTCGGTCGAACTTCTTCTTCGTCTTGCGATATTTTCTGTTGGCCACATAAACACCAGTTCTCAGCTTGACCAGCTTGCGGACATCCCATGATTCAGCATCCACGTTGGATTGGGACGAAAGTTTCTCCCAAGGATCTGGTCCCTCATGCTTCCCCGACCGAAGGTTCTCCTCCTCCGCTAGCAGGTGATCGTTTCTCGTGATCACGGCTTTGATCACGCACCTCCGAACTTCTGTAGACCCCGGAAACTCGAACAGCGAGAGCTGACGATCGATCGCCTCCTCGCGGGCAGCCTTGTTCTTCTCGCCCTTCATCTCACCCTTCACCCCGGGGTCGAGGTGATCGATGTCGCCAAGGTGGGTCAGGCCCGCGTCAAACATCGCCTCTTGCATCAGAAAGATCGGAGCTGACTTGGGCAGCAACTTTGCCGCCTCAAGAGCCGCAAACCAGCGATCGACCTCCGTCAGCCTCTGCTTGTGCGTCTCGTCCATCTCGATCTCCCGCAGCTGTGAAAGAAATGCCAACTTCATCTCCGAGTCCGTCACAGGGATCGACGGGCCTTTGACGGGATCCATGAGGACCACAGACGTGATGTCGAACGGGACCTCTGCTGCCATCGCCATGATCTTGCTGCCCAACCGCCTGAGCGAGCTCGCCGCAGCTCGACGGAGAGTGTATACCTGTACAAGCTTGGTGGCCAAATCTTCAGCCGCAGCGTTGAACGAGTGGTGGTTTGAGAACACGTAGTAGTACGCTCTGCGCAGGCTTGGTTCCAGTCGCGCTCCTTGCCAGAGCTGGCGAGGAGCTTCAGCAAGGCCAAAACCAAGGAAGACGGCGACGAGGACGAGGCAGACTGCGTTCGAGCTGGCCATGAGGCCGTAGACTACATACTCGAGATCTTCTCCCATGATTGCCAACACCAGAAGAAACACGGAGAACAAGACGGCAACGACTCCCCAAAAGACCCCGTTCTCTATAGCTGCCTGCTGCAGACGCTTCAGTATTGAGAAATGCCGGGACTCGACATAGGAGGACTGGAAAGATAGCAGGATCCAGCCGTTGAACTGGCACATGGTGTAGACTGCCAGCCACGCCACCTTGAGGAATCCGATCCAGCGGTCCAACACCACGTCGTCGTCGTCCTTTGGGCTCCCAATCGTCCGCCATGGTTTGATGGGGCAAGCACGATCTCGCTCCTCCTTGTTGTTGCCATAGTGATCGATGCAGCGCTTGAGGTAAACGAGATTGAGATCAACAGGAACGATGGCGACAAGTGCCAGCGCCATGGTCCATGAGACCCATACAGTGAAGTAGACATGGAGGGGAGTACCGCGAGCAGTGAGCTTCCAGATCACCAGACCCACGATGGCTCCAATGCCAACGAGTTCAGTGACGAAGAAGTCGAGCATGATGACAGGGAGTGCAGCTAATGAGCAAGAACGAAGCTATTCAAGAGAAGTGAGACAGGTGGGGGGTGGAAGATAAGAAGGGCAAGAGAGAACGATGACAAGGGTAGGCGATGTCGATGACAAGGGTAGGAGAGGAATGGAAGGAGGATGAGCACGCGCGGCACGAACGGCACCGAATCCTATCGAGCACTCAGACTTGCACAAAGGCAGGAGAGGAAGGAGCAGCAGGGGCGAGAGAAGAAGCAAGGGAGTGAGAGAGGGAGAGCAAGGAGAGGACAGGTCCTGCTGACTCTCTTGCGCGGGGTTGGGATAGGCTTGAGGGTCTCAAGCGCATGCCGAAGCGGCCAGCCATGATTTTCCTCCAGTTGGGGAAATTCAGGAGAGGAACTACAAGTGATCAAAATTTACTCATATTTACAATTGTACCAGAAATGTTTCTTTTTTGCTTACGCCCTCACAAGTCCCTTTTAGTACCCCTGATTTTCACACTTGGCCTTGGGGAGTGGAGGGGTTATGAGACAAGTTTATTTCCGTTATAACTTCCTGGAACATGGGGGAGATGCATGCCTACGAACCGAAAACAAGTAGATGGGAGGGGGTTTGATGGCGAAGCGAGGAGGAATGATGGAGGAGGAGAGGAGGTAACATGGGTGGGGAGAAGCTGTGGAGAGGATGAGAGGCAAGTAATCGAGGGATTGACCATTTGGCGAAAAAGATGTGAGACGGAGGAAGAGAGTAGAGCAGATTGGCAGAGATGAAGAACAAAGCAGCAGTCTCCTGCTGTCCAGGGGCAGCAGGAGACTGAATGACTCAGACAGATTGAAAGATGGGTAAATACTGAATTCTTTCACATTTGCTATCATTCCTAAAAGTCGTATCTATGTCATTCCTCCTTCTTGTCCGAGGATGCTGCTTCCGATGGCATTGCTGGGCCATATTTCTTCTTGGTGGACAACTATGAGTACATGCAGACGTCAGAATAATGCGCGACAACAATGAGATGAAAAACAATAATTCATTAGCACCTTGGAAACGATTGGGCGGAGAACAAAAAGCCATCTGGTGAAGGGAATACAGGAAAAAAATCAGCAGAAACTTGTGAAGGTGTCGTAGAACTCACACGATCACAAGTCCGAGCGCGTACATCCAATCAGCCCAACTTCTTGCTTCAGGACCATACGATGAGAGTGAAAAGCTCTTGTACCATGGCTCCTTCGCTTCCGACATGTTCTGCGAGTATAGAAGTCAGCCAGACATGTTTGCGAAAGGCAAGATATTGAACGATGATGCACGAGGGAGCTCACTGATTGCATCGATTATGCTAGATGTCAAATTCTAGTCGATGAATGCAATCGGTTCATGTACTGTGGTAATAAACCAACTCAAAGAACAGGATGCCCACCACCACCTCCCAACTCAGCTACTTCATCTCCTCATTCTCTCCTTCTTCCCCTTTCCTTCCCTGCTTCCATCCTTCATTTCTCGCTTCCGTGAGTCATAAGTTCCCTCTTCGCCGTTGACGTGTTAGCATTTCCCCCGTTCTGCCCACGTTCATTCCCTTCCTGTCCACTTGGAGGCTCTTGTCCTCTGGTCATATTCTTGCTCCTCTCTTCAGCTAGTAACTTGCTCCTTCTTCGTCTCTGCCTTGAGAAAAAGCATCAAGAACAAGCGAGGAGGAGGAGAAGACAAGCAAGGAGAGCTGAGCGGAGACAGGGGACCAGCACGGGCGACTCTGGCGACTGTGGCTCGAAGGGAAGGGGAATGGAAGGGGAAGACTTCTGTCTTCTTCTCCTTCCAGGGACATTACAAGGATTTTCATTGCTGTCTTATATGTATCAATAGTAATGTCAATGAGGGGGACTGGAATATTTAAAGATTGATTTTTTAGTTGACGACATATCCCAATACGGAGGAGGGTGGAGGAGGGCAACAAGTGGAGGGCAGGACGTGGAGAGGAGGGGGCAAGAGTTAGTGAGCCAGAGGAGGGAGAGAAGGGTGAGATACACAGATTGCGAACTTGTTATGAGCATTCTCGTTTGTTAGCATGTCCACGGACAGTCTGCAGGAGGAGCTTGGCGAGTGGACGAGAAGCCTCGACACTCTAGTCGATGCTGAAGCGAGTGCGGGGAGAGAGATCGGGGTAGAGCAGGTCGCTTCCGATGTCGTAGGATGGGTGAAAGACATCGGTAAGGAGGTCACTTCAGCAGCCAGCAGAAAAATCTCTCCGCAGCTCAACTTGAGGAGGTTTCAAGCTCGCGAGCTGTCTGAACGTGTTGATTATCGTCCTCGGCACAGGAGCTGGAGGTCTCTGGCCCACCCTACTGCAGTGTCGTACGCAAAGCAAGTTCTGAGCTGGTTTGGTTACTCGAGCAAAGCAGCGAGTGCGAGAACCAGGAGCGAAGAGCATGCCCTGCATCACGCATCGCACAGACACAAACATGTCGGTGACGAGGAGGGGATTCACGATGAGCCGAATGCTCCACATGAGGACTTGGCGGCAACAGGCAAGGAGGATCATACGAGAACGTCTTGCGCTGCGAGCCTTCGAGAGAGAAATATGAAGGAATCCAGTAATCTCAAGTCGCGTCACGTTCATGTCCGACACATAAGACCAACATCTGCAACCTGCGGGTTGACGAGCAGTCCTGAATGGCAGAAATCTGTTGCCTGCTTGCTGTATTACCTCTTCCAAGGAACCATCCTTATATCTTTTGTCACTGACAACGTTCGAGAAGTCACGTCGTTGCGCTCAGAGCAGAAACAGGTTGTTTGGTATCAAAATTGTAGTGCGGTTTCTGATTGATTTCTTAGATTATGTTGGTGATGCTCCTGCTGTCGGTTGGAAATTTCTTCAGCTCTACGACGACACCCAAATCTCACATTCTCCTCGTCCTGTTCAGGTTTGCACGTGACGACTGTGATGAAGTTTCTGACCAGAGCGTCAGAGCACTATGTGACATCGCCAACATTCTTCATGCTGTGATCCTCACACTCTTGTGCATCTGGAGCGACGGAATGCGAGCAGACGGTGAGAGGTACAAGTTCTATCGAATCGCTAAAGTTTGTGTTCAGACAGTGAGATTGCTCGATGGTTTCTTCGCTCTCCCAGGTTGTTCTCCCTTTCCTCCTTGTCATCCTAATCAGCACTTGCAGTAATGCGAAGCTGTTGATGCTGCCGGAGGAGCACGTCGGTGCTGTGCTTGGCATTGTCAATCTTCTCTTCGGGCTGCTTCGAGTCAGCAGGTGGAAATCTGTTTGAGCTGGTTTTGTGATCTTGTTAAACATGTGCAAAGCGATCTTCACATAGACACTATACCCCGGACGTCGGAGCTTCCAGTTGCCATGACGGTGCGTGCAACCGCAAACAAGCATGAGGGAGGAGGGCCAAGAAGATTTTTGAAACTCTGGCAGGGTCTCATCCTCCTCTCCCTCATCCCTGCCAACACTCAGCTCGGTCGTACTTGCGAAATGAAGGATCTCAGCGCCTCGTCATGCTGTGGGCACGCGACTTTCTCCTCCTGGTCCTCGTGCCATGTTCTCACTTCAGCTCTCTTCATCGCCATCGTCAATCTCGCGGCACCAACGCAGAGGTCCTGCACGTAGCTGCCACTCTCATCTGACCATGGCGAATTAGGAGGCTCCGGGCTCCGCTTTTGGCGATGATCTCGACTTCTCTGTGGTCGCTTGCAGTGGCAGCAGGAGGAATCATCATGGTGCGTAGCTCTAGCGATTCTCGTCTGCTGCTCCTTTAACTTGATCTTAGGGTTCTTCATCACTTCCCTGGCCTGGAATTCCCTTCTTCTCCGCGCTCTCTGTCATCAGTTTGCTCATGTCTAAGCATTTGGTGTGAAGGCTAGGCTACGGTTTAATGCTTAATCTAACGACTTGGTTCCTGCTGTAAATTTCGAATTATCGCCGTTGAGATCAGCTCGCTCTTGAAGATGTCTGTGCGAGTGTTAGGGTATAAAACCAGCAAGGTTAGAAAACATACGCTATAGCTGCCAAGAGCTTTCGTCTTGCTCCAATCGTCGATATCTGTTCGCAGACAAATCACGGGCCGACAAAACGAGCAGGAGGTCAAACCTGCATCTCCTTCAGGTCTTCGTCGGTGACGTACCGCAAAGCTTCTGGTTCTGTCAGCTCCTGCAAGGAGAGTCATCGGGCACAACACATGTCGTCGGGCAAAGTCATCGGGCACAACACATCTCGCGCCTCTCACCTGCTCCTTTAGGATAGGAGCGTACTTGTCAAGCCCTATCTGTGCGAGAAAGTGATCCAAGCCTCTCCATTCTCCCTGCTTGTCTCATCAACGTCAACGTTCAGGCCTGAATCCCTTACCTCTCCCCCCTGAGCTGCCTTTGCCGTATTGCTCTTGTCCAATCTCGGTGTTGCCTCAGGAGCTTCGGGCATCGCAGGCACAGAGAGCGAGGGCGCAGTCTTGTTATCAAACAGGTCCAGCATATCTACGCTCGTCGACGCGATTGCCTTGGGCTTGTCGTCGATTTGCATCAGCAGCTGCTTGCCATTCCTCGAGTCATCGCGTGAGGCCTCATGAAGAACAGCAAGATCTCCTTTGCTTTGCTTCGCACCCGAAGATCCTTTCAACTTCTTGTACTCAAGATACTGATGCTACATTAGTCTCTGCAAGAGAAAACGATTCAGAACCTCATTCAGAGCGTTGTCAAGGTTCCATTTATGTTCATTCAGGCAATAGACAGCAAGATCGGATTCGCAACCCTAGATACTTTCAAGTCAGCAGTCTTAGACAACAGAGAATCTTGCTTGCCGTGATTTCACAAAATGATTTGACGGTTTGTTCTCTTCTTGCTTCATCCATCTACGGAATAATCAAAAATCTCATTTGTTTTAGTTTTGCGGGGCAATTTTCACCTGCTCATGTCGTCCATGGACCGTCGCGTTCGAGTTACTGTGGGTCAGGTCAGATGCCTGTCCCAAACTCCTTCGAATAGCTTCAGCAAGTGCTTCTTCCTGCCTTGCTCAATCAACAACGTCGAAATAACAAAACCCTCTCCACCTCCGTCATCGCCGAGCTTCGCGACGTTGGCATGGCAGCAGGCGCATGTGGATGAACGACGGTCTTCTTACACCTCCCGGTGACGATCAGCACGGCAGGCGGTCTTGTATCAGTCGACGTCTTACCTTGGACATGAAGCCCCAGCAAGACCAGCTGGCATCTTACAGATCTAGTCAAACAAGCCGAAATGCTGACATATTCGCGTGAAAGCATACTTCGAGGTGGACTCCACATCCCGGACAAGTTGTCGTTGAGCCTTGGGCTCGCTGATAGCACAGACCGTGAGCAGCTCACTGAAGAATCCACAGAGGGTTACTTGCTGCGCTTGAGCTGCTGGTGTCAAGGTTGGAGTCTGACAGGCCGGGCATACGACTTGTGCCACGGAGCTGCTTTGACGGTGAGGTCAAGCAAAGACCACAGGAAGGCATCACCTTTTGCATGAAAGAGTGCTTTGACAGCTTGCATTCGAGCATTTCAAAATAGCATTCCTTCATCGCCGTCAACATCATCGCATCTTACCCTACTGCAAGTACCCGCTGCCACAGAAGCAGCACTTCAGATATGAGGATCCTGACTGTTCATAGAGGTTTCAGGATAGGGGCTACACATCTGCATGAATTACCTTGCAAGAAATTTGCTTTCCACAAGTCCCACAGAGGAAACTCACTCCTTGAAGGAATGTATTTAGTGCTCAAAATAATCAAGATTGCGCTCATGGGAATAAAAGTTCAAACCTTGGATGTGATTTCTTTCACTGCCAACTGTGTTCTCTAAAGAGGCAGGTCAAACTCAAAAATTGAGCAGTCATACGATTACGAACCTGCCGGCGTTTGATTTGTTACATGGCAGCTGGGACAAGCAACTTGTGACTCTCCAGTCTTGTAGCTCATGATAGCTGCACAGCTGTAGCATCGCAATTGCAGTCTGGCGGGGTTGGCAGCTCGAGATGGAGGAGGTGGAGTTGCCTGCATGACAATCACCTCAAAATGCTCAGGTTGCAGCACGAAGCAAATACTGTCCCCGGTGGTTCGGAGGAAGAGGTCGAAGTTGTACAAATGTTTCCTTGAGACCAATTGTCAAAAACGTGGAAGAGAGAGCGAGAGCGAGAGCGAGAGCGGATGACGAAGGATGAGTGCGAGAAAGGGAGGGAGGAAAGGTGAGATGGTGAGCGGAGAAAGTGGGGTAAGGGGAGAGGAGAAAGAAGTGAGAGAAGAAAGAAGGATGATAGGTCAAGAGGAAAGGGGAGCAAGACAGATGGGGGAGAGAAACCTCTTGCTTCATTGAATCTGACATAATCTGCTTGATCTTCGGGGAGTTGGGGGGGAACATACGATCCAAGATCTTTTTTTGGCGACTTATGAGACAAGTGTCAGCAGCATGGCAGACCGAGAAGAGCAGAGCTTGTTCACCTCTTTCTTCTTTATCCCGGATATCAAATTGTTTACTCCCAAAATGCCTTTCTCTCCCATCGACTTCATCTTGAACAGAAAATTCGTTATGCTGTCCGACGTCCCCATGAGGTCACGTGCGTCTTTGGGCGCCTGCGAGCCATTCTGTTGCCCAGGTCAAACAAGGAATTGAGTTCAAGTTGTAGGGATGCAGAGAATTCCGGCTCGTTTCAATCAACCATGATGATATACAGCACAAATTTAACACTCATCGCATCATTTCAGTCAAGAAACGGGATGCTTTGCCCACTCTTAGCACTTCCCTCAATAATTATTCTATGTAATCACGCGTATTCATGTCCGCGTTCAATCCTTCCCTTTGAATTGCTCTTCTCCACCCTTCGCCCCCCTCCATTCCCACCCAGCAGTTCTACCTGATGAGCCGCCATAGCTTGTTCTGTCTTTTTTACAAGTATTTTTGTCTATATTTAGACTCAAATTGATTTTAATTATGACCCTTTTAAATTTCCCCCACTACAGCTAGGTCCTGTTCGAATTATAGACAGACCCCACCCCCTCAATGAAATATCATAAGGACGGGTGCATATTCAAAATTCTACTGCACCAGTCTTCGCCTGATTTCCCCGACCCACCCCATATGATTTTAGCCTACAGGACATGCACAAATGACGCAAGGGAAGAACGGCGAGGCGACGGAGAGTCTTCGGCATGTTGGTCATGCCGCAAACCAAAAATATCAACAGTATCATGAGCTCCAACTGCATCGAAAGCCCCACCATGAATGAAGTCTCGTTCTCATATCATCGCAGCAGCTTTGATGGTTTGCTCTCGGTGACGATTTGAGTTCTGAATTCTTTTTGAGAGGCTAGTTGGCATGGAGAGTCTTGTGGCCAGGGGAAATGTTGTCAAGATTAATCGGTTCGTGTTGATTTTCGAGTGGACAACGACAGCCGTGACATCCTGTCTGCTTGTCTTCTACTGGTACGGGATCTTGGCGTCCCCTGAGGAGATGCAGAACAGTAGGAGTTACAAGGTGTTGCTCGTGTACTCAATCATCTACGCCTATCTCCGTCTTTGCTATCTTGTCAAGACGTTGAGTAAGACGTATGTGTACCTCAAGGATGGGCCATCGGAGCGGGAGGTGCTGCCTGGACAGGAATTTATCGATTCTATTGCGAAACTTCAGCCGCTAGCAGAGAAGATGCACATTCTCTGTGTGTGCTTGATAACGCACAATGTCTTTCCCTTCCGTCCTTGCGTGCCCATGACTTTCTGGGCCGTATGTACTTCTCTTCATATCGCCTCCCTTATCTTCGTGACCTTGTGCATCTTGCTGCTCGTCGTATCTACTTGCATGGTCGCCTTCATCATCGTGACTGAGAGGAGAAGAAACAGAAACGAAGACGCCTCGACTCACTATCGCTTCCTGCCCCTTGTTGATCCTATTCGCAACAGAATCATAGCAAACCTTCCCATCACTCAGCAGGCGCCTCCTGACGGCGAGCCGTGTGCGATCTGCTTCGAGATCGACACCGAGACAGACTGGTGAAGGATGGGGTAAGGCTTGCGAAGATCGTCTCAATGCTTGGCAGGAGACTTCTTCCATGTGGACACCGATTTCATCCTTCATGTATCGACGACTGGCTCAAGAAACGACGTCAGTTTGTTTCCCTGTTCTCTTCCTGCTTGATGAAATCATTCTTTGCAGTTTCCTCCTGCCCAATCTGCCGAAGAGATCCAGTGGAAGGCAACAGAAATGTGGAGGCGGGGAAGGGATGGCGCAAGGTGAGGCCAAGGCATAAGGTCCCTCGATGAAATGTGTACAGATGCGGCTGCTGCTCCCGGCGGCGGGGAAGAAAATCATGGGAGAGAGACGGAGGATGAGCGAAACCGTCTGGTTGCAAACATGGTCTGAAATTCGCAGGATACGGTGTTGTGTGAATCGATAACATGCGCTCGAGTTGTTCTTTTCTGTAGTTTTCTGATTTCTGCTGGTTAGTGGTGCATGCTGAGACCTGTCAAACTTCCCTTTGGCATGAAAGTACAATTCACAAACCCCGTACATGTCTTTGATCGATGCAGCTTATTCATATTGTATGTCAAGTTTTACTCTCCTCGCCTTCATACATTTAGAGGTCAAAGGAGGTTACTGGAAAAAGAGAATGGAGGATCGCGAATTCTGGAATGCTGAGAAGAACTGCGCAAAGGAGATAGTAGAAACAACACAGGGAGTGTTGGAGCATAGGGTGAGAGAAAGGAAGGGCAGGGATAGTTCATATCTCGAAGTCGAAGATAAATTCACCGAACCCGGAGATGGCGGCTCTCACGGAATCCCCCACATGGATTGACTGCTCCATCGCCGCGCCCTCCAGTTGCTTCGCGCTTTCCATGGCTTGTCCGATGATGTGGTAGCGAGGCTGCAGCTTTCCTACCGCTCCTGCTCCGCATGTGCCAAGAGCCACTCCAATCCGACATCTCAAGTCGATTTTCCACTCCTTGCTCTGCGTCTTAACCGTTTCCAGAAGCTGCTTCGCAAGCCTTACCATGCTCTTGCACACCACACGCTCTGTTGTGTCGGTAACCCATCCCGCGCACACATATGCATCTCCAATGGTATCAATCTTGAATACACGGTGAGCTCGCCCGACGCACAAGTCGAACTTGGAGAAGAGGGTGTGAATGAGCTTGGCGACTTCCATTGGCTCCATCTTCGATACCATCTCTGTGTAGCTGCACAGGTCGAGGTGCAGAACTACAGCTCGACGAGATCTGTAGGAGATCTTGCCGGTGCTCACGATCTCGTGCGCAATGTCCTCCGGGAACAAGTCATTAAGTATCTTGATGATCGATTTGTACTCCTCTTGGATCACGCGAGAAACTTTCCACTGCAGTCTCACCCCAAAGTTTCCATCGCGCAGCAACTGGTTGCTGAAGTATCCAGCGAAGAGCACAAAGAAGGAAAAGCCCGAGGAGATGTTTGCAAATATCACACGCACTAGCACGAAAGTGATGACTAGCGTGCAGACGACGAAATAAGTGTGCCGCTGCACTGAGGTGCCGCAAAGCAGAAGGTTGAAGTAGGAGAAGCTGGGGCCAAAAATCAAGCTGATCCCTGTGCAGTTGACGAATGATAGGCAAAATAAAAGCGAGCAGTAAAAGACTGTCTGGCATAAGAACAGAGCCGAGCGCCAGAACTCCACTTTACGTCCAAGACCTTGCAAGGAACCCTTGGGAACAAAGAATGAGATGGGTTTGATCCTTAGGCAAACACAGTAAGATAGGAACGAGCCTATCAGACAGACGACACTCATGCCTCCCACAACTAGTCTCAAGTTGACCACTTGCCTCTTTCGATGCTGAAAAGTCTCAGTTGTGAAGATGCTCAAGGACAGAAGGTATTCGAAGATGACGATACTCGCAACCGAGCAGCATAAGAGCCCAAGAATCACTCTCCGAAAGTTACGTGGTGCTCGAAACTGTAGAAATTCTTCTTCTGTGCGCTGGTCCAAGAAGCAGCACCAGAAGGGGTGGATCTCTTGCTTCTTGAAAGTGAGCTGCAGAGAAGCATCATTGCTCATGAATGCTTTCCAAGCCGGATCTTGAGCGTCAGCTGACGATATCATGTCAAGGTCGCTTAAAGGGTTGCTTGAGCTTGAGATTCCAGCATCTGTTCCTGAGGAAGAAACTCTATTCCTGAACTGCTCGAAGCACTTATCCTCGTTCTCACCGTTTCTGGTCTTCGGTTGCATCGCAATGAAGGGCAAAGAGTTTCCGTCTGACGATACGTGCACGAAATAACACGTCATCAATCCTTTACCTTTTACATCAATCGTTGGTTTTTCTACAAGGGAAATCTCCGGGAAATTTCCACGCTTCAAGACATCCATCACGGACTGCGTACATAAGATTCTACTCGGCTCTGAGTGCGAGCACATTCTCGCGCTCGTGTTAATAGTGTCTCCAAAAAGGCAGTAAAATCTTCTTTGATATCCAACTACAGCTCCTGCCACGGGGCCTGAACTGATACCCACTTTCGCCCAAAGAACGTGTCCTGAAGCAGAGAAATATAATCGAGCACGTCGTATCAGACAATCTGCCAGCTGAATCATTCTGCGTGTTGAGTAGAGGACATACTCGTCATGGTGCATTGGTGCATCGAAAGGATTGGCTGATCTTGGACATGCGATTACATAAGAGTCTTGAATGTGATGATACTTGAACATGCCAAAAGATTCCACAATTGCATCAAAATCCGAAAAAACTTTGTCAATGAAATTGAACACTTTGAGGTTGCTTGTTGTTCCTCTCGTTACTTCAGGAGAAAGGGAAAGGAACATGATCGTGCAATGCTCCATTGTATTGCCGATGATTGAATTGGCGGACTCAGCCATCAACCTGGTGTGTAGAGATCGTGGGATGATTGTGCACAACAAGCCATTTGTTTGCTCAATCGAAATCTTCAAGCCTTTCTCCCGAAAGTAGCGTTCTCGGGCACAAGATATCCTGGAATGACAGAGATAAGTCGTGGCAATGGTAATGATCGCATGCAGAAAGACGATAGGCAAGTGTAAGTTTAGATTCAGCCCGCATAGCATCCCAGCCCCAAGCAAACTCAAAACCTGAATTACGCAGACTGAGAAAGCTGCCTGCCCGTCTATTGCTGCAGTGATCGGCAGAAAGCACCCCATGAAGGTGTAGACAGCAAGAGACTCAGGGGAAGTCAGCCGGGGAACACATCCAGCATCTTCATGCGAGTATGTCGTCGAGTACCTCAAGTTCGTCTCGATGGGATTAGAGTCTGTGCAGCTCCAGGTCCAGGGAAATCCTTGCTGGATACCGATAGTGAGATTGACATAGGGAGAGATGTAGCCGACGGTCATAGACCTTCTGAGGTCTGCAATGAGCTTCCTTGCAAGCTCCGACTGGAACAGCAGACAGATCCAGAACGAGCAAACTAGGTCTTTGTTTCTTCCCCGAGATAGAAAATTCTCTGTAGATGGCAAAATGTATATACACAAAAATACGAGACATAAGACTGTGGTGGACAAAAACAAAAGCCCATGAACTTGACGCAGGGCACTGTTGTCCTCGACTTGTTCACCATAAAAGATCTGAAGCGCAAAACAAAAATAAAATATTCCAACCGACACTAAAAGCCTCTGGAAAGTCGCTCGTGAACGAGAAAAATCTAATTTCCGGAACTCATCTTCATCATCCTTGTTTTGAGGCTGGGAAGTAATGTGTTGGAACTCAAGTCCAAGGCCCCTCAAAGGCATGGCAATCTTCTGATCCCACCCTCAGGTTAGGCTATATTTCGAGTTCTAAAGCATACATGAACATGAATATGGTATAGCCCAAAGCAAGAAGTCAGACAGGAAACGGAACCAAGGTCAATCGTCGCTTGAAGCGGAAGACAGTCCTTGTGCGGCTCCAACGTAAGGAGAGATTGAGCTTCAGGCAAAGATGAAGTAGAAGATGACAGGGAAGATATGGAAGGAGAGTTTCAAGACGTCGAGGAGATTAGACGGGGACGCGGGGAGATTCGGGAGGGCGTGAAGGAACGGGCGGGGACGGAAGGAAGTGGAGGGAACGAATCGCGGAATACTAGGGGGTGGGGTAATGGGTTCCAGTGGTGGGTAGGGTGTGCCATCGTGTGGGGAAAAATGCATATGAGCAAGGGGGTGATGAAGGGGGTCGGGTAGTCTACACCGGGTGGGGCGTATTCAAATGAGGGTAGGGTCACTACGAGCGTGCAGGGCAGTTGTATAAATATGTAGTATTTTTATAGTTTTAAGTTGAACGAAGAGTTCTTATATTGGCAGTAAAAAGGGCTACTGGGTTTTTTTATTTAGTATGGGCTATAATGGCCTTTACACATGGGTTTAGATAGTTTAGTTTAGAGAGTTTGGCAGCATATGTACGGGCGACCATCCTCAAGGGCGGCAACCGTGAACTATGAGGGCCTGCCCATTCGACTGATTGGGCGGGATGACGATGCGCCAGTCGTAAGTAGCTGAGGGCCGAGTGTGCTGCCAGGCTACGGTCACGCCGGTCACCGCCGCCGGGTACTAAGGACAACAACCAGGGGGATGGCCGCTAGCCGAGCAGCTTAATAACACTTGACTTATTTGACATAATTACGTTGTATGGTTTTGGTCACATGACACTTCTCACGTTCTACTGATTTGACCACATGACACTTTTCCTTCGTGACTTTTTTGACGTATTACACTTTTCCTTCGTGACTCAACTATGAACAACTGCCTTCTTATCTCTCTCACTTTCCCTTATCATTCTCGTCAGGCTTTAACATGATTTCAGCAAGGGGGCGGGAAGGCATGGCGCAGCCTTGCCGCGGGAGCTTGCTCCCCCCTTGGTGACCAATGGCCGTTCTGCCGTTCTGCCGTTCTGCACGTGGTCCCGGAGAAACAATCATCATTGATGAAACTCTGCTGTTCTGCACCGTGGCAGGTATGGAGGGTGGAGGGTTTGATTTTGCTCCTCCAAATTTTTTTTTGATTTTCCCCAATTCAACTTTCAACCCTCCACACCCTCCAAACCCTCCATACCCTCCACTAACCCCCTTTCTCTATTACCATTTCACTCTTCAAATGTATATGGAAGGTTTGTGGAGGGTTCCTTTTATTGTGGAGGGTTTATGCTTACCTTTAATCTCTCTCTCTAGTTCTGGTCTTATAATATAATTGGCTATTTTATCCTCTTCTAATAGTAAATACACCATTTACCTTTTATAATAAATTGATTTTAACTTTTTGTTTATTATTGTCACCCACCACTGGCCCATATTTATTTATTTCTTTTCTCTCCAAAAATCAAAATGAATAAAGATATCTATATGAAACAATACAGAAAATATAAACGTGATTATATTAACTATATACAGGACATTCTTCTTAAAATACTACGCGATGATAAAGCATTATCCACGCTCTTAAATGCTAATCTTATTACTCAAGATGATATAGAATACCTTAAAACGCATAAAGAAACCGCTAGAGCTTTAAAACAAACTTCTGGTTTAGGGTTTAGGGTTTAGGTCTCTTGCCAATCTCATGGGGAGGAATTGCTCGATGTTTTTGTAACCTACTAAGCGCCACCCTCCTGGCTGCCCCCGGGTGATCAGTCCTCGGATGATGGGTACGATTGCGTGTGCAGGCGCCAGAGTTATGGACATCTTTTGTGTTGCCTGGTTTCTCGGGTTTAGGGTTTAGGGTTTAGGGGTTAGGGTTTAGGGGTTAGGGGTTAGGGGTTAGGGGTTAGGGTTTAGGAGGCGCCGTTATTTTCGGCAGGCGCCGTTATTTTCGGCAGGCGCCGTTATTTTCGGCAGGCGCCGTTATTTTCGGCAGGCGCCGTTATTTTCGGCAGGCGCCGTTATTTTCGGCAGGCGCCGTTATTTTCGGCAGCATGGCTCCTCGTCAGGTGTAGGGGAAGCCGCCAGGGCGCCAAGGAAGCTGCAAGCAAGAGGTTTGTATACTTCAAATAGCTTTCTAAGTATGGTTCTTCAGTATGATGAAAATGTTCGCAACCTGCTGTATCGGAGATCATGCCAATACACGCAGAGCGGACTTGTGGATGCCTCTGTCCTCGAAGCTGATCTCGTCGAGAGGGTGAAGAGCTTCGCGAAGCGTTATCCGAACAGCAGGACAGCCCAGGCTTGCAAGGCTGTGGAGGGATGCACCCCCGACGCTATCGCAGAAGCCATCCGCTCGACATGTCAGCAGGCACGACGTGAGTTTCTGCAAGAAGCGATGACTGGATGGAGTGACGCATCCAGAGAGTGGTTTATGCAGCAGATTGAAGAAGCCAAGAAGGAGAAGGTCGAGACATACACCGCCTCAGCAGGCAACGAGGTGACTTCCTTCATCTCCATGACTCTCCTGGGCATCTCCTCGGTGTATGTCAACCATGAAGAAAAGCTGAAGAAGAAATTTGAAGAGATCGGACTGATCGTAGACTCAGTGCAAGAGAGTAAAGCAATCATGTGGAAGGCTCCGTATAGACCCGAGATAGCGAGTGCTGAGGAGATCCCGGTGACTGTTTCCTTCCTCCGCAATGCACAAGCGGAGAAGCTCTGGCAGGGAAGAGAGGACTTCGCGATCGATGGTCGCAAGTTCACAGCTGTACATGTGAGCATCGTGCACGATCGATCTTTCAAGATTCGAGCCAAGAGAGGACCCTGGGGCAAAGGGGGCAGCTTGGCAGAGCTGACTCACCTGCTAACCTTGGGCGGCATGACAACGGCTGAGATAGCTGCCGTCTATCGCTACCAGCTGCTGCGCCAGTCCCTTGCAGCGGTCCAACTCCAGCCGCTGGCAGGCATGCTGGTCGCTGGGGCGCCAGGACAGCAAGTCCACAAAGGCTTAGGTCAGAAAGGCTTCATCGCTGTAGGGGCCAACGTCATCTGGAGACAGAGGGAGGTGGAGTGGATCGTCTCCTCGAGCTGCCCAGAGGCGAATGATACAGCATTTCGAGCTTTCCGAGAGAGCGAAGCGATGGAGGGAGTACACCTGACTCTGTTCAGCGAGGACCCGAAGATCAGAGAGGCGCTCGCAGTCGAGTTGACAGCTGATCGCTTTGTGTCCAGAAATAAGTTGAAGAAGGCATCAAGGATGCAGAAGAAGGCAGGCGGCAAGGACGGCAAGGAGATCAAGATCATCATCAAGTCGACGGCGGCATCTGGTCGCTTCACGAGGAAGGAGATGGAGGGGCTGTGCAACGGCGGCAACACGTCTATCGCAAGAGTCAAGAGAGTCTTGTTGGAGATCGCTAACAGGCTCGAGATCAACGTTGAAGGCATCGACATGGAGGAGGATTTGAACACCAAGTCCTGGAACGGGTCCAAGCTATGCATCCTCCTCGGCTCCACGGAGGATGCTCGACGCATGATGAAGGAGCTGCCCTTCTATCTCGAAGGCGCAGCAACCAAGCTCGAAGCAGTCGGCTTCGACAAGGAGCCTGACTCTGAGGCGGCTGGTCAGCGGGGCACCAGCGACGCAGCGCAGCGACAGGAGGAGAGCGAGGGAGAGTGGCTGGAGTTTACAGACCTGGAGAGGATCACAATGGAGGCAGCATCTCCGTCAAGCCAAGAGGACATGCAGCTCGTCAGCGAGCTGTCAGCAGTCATCGAAGATGCAGCTTCTTTGAACGAGGCAGGGACGAGCGAGCCGATCAAGCTGGTCCTGGACAAGGCCGTTGGCAACCTCCACGACACGTTCTACTCTCCGGGGAGCCTGGAGTTCATGTCGCTGGGAGAGTGGGCGAAGAT